GCACAATTATATATTTTAGTACATACTTGTATAAAAGTAAAAAAATGATCACAAGAAAAAGAAGGAAACTAAAGTAACGTTTACTATTTAAATAGTAAAATACTTTTTTAAGGAACCAAGTGATCTCGGAAATCGGAAATCAGAAGTCGGAAATCAGAAGTCCGAAATCAGAAGTCCGAAATCGGAAGTCGGAAGTCGGAAATCAGAAGGCCCTTCTCGGCCATCGTATGATTATTATGCTATCAACTGGACTGAGAATTTATTATATTTTTTGGTCACGGCAAGAATAAATGAAACTACATATTCTATATTGTATCATTAAACCAAGAGACTACACTAAAAAGAACCCCGAGTGCACGCTGACAAGCGTCTTGTTTACATGTAATTGAAACTTTGGTGGACAAAAGCACCGTGCTATAAAAATTCAAAAATCTTTAAAACAGACAAAAAGCAAGTTATTTTAGTCTGAATTTCTACAAACAAATTATCTGAAAAGTATAGTAAAGAAACTCGAATAAAATTGCTTTTTTCCCACAATTATCGGAGTATTGAATTTTAGTTAATTTAAGCCCATTATCAGCTTAGCTAAATGTATGGGCATGTTGGTATTTTATCTCCAACATCTTTATCGACTTTTAAGAGTTTGTAGAAATTTAGGGGCTATAAAGGGTGGATTTCCAAGATTTAAAGTATAAAGCACTTTTGGTTTTGGTGTTTGAACAAAATGAAAAGGGCTATCTAGGAAAATTTTCATGTTACTAGCAAAGCAATGCAGTATTCTATATTCCTTAAAATCATTTCTTTCAATTTCTTTTTCTTGTTGTTGTTACTCTAAATTTATTCACAGCTCAATTGACTTATTTATTGTTTTCATTACATTCACAGGTCAGATTCCAGTAGTCCAGCTCAATTTTGCTGCATTATCTTATGAAACACCTTTTGACAGAGAYAATGTCGAAAGTTGTGTAAAAGAGGTCTTACAAGCTCTAAGCCGGTCAATTCAAGCAAAGAGAAATGTTGAATTCCACTTCTCTGGAATGGGAAGGCTATCTATTCGGGACTCCAAAGTCAAGATGAAATTTTATAAAGATTTTGTTAAAAGCATGGAYGGMTCAGGAAGTCTTCTCAGAGCTCTTTCTAATGTAAGTTATTTTGAAAATATTATTAAGAAAAAATAAAAATAAATATGAGCATTTTTGAGTGGCTTTAAGGCGGGGTTGATACGCAGCTGTATACAAACCACAAGGCATTTATGAGTCCCCTATCAAACAGATATCATGGCAGTTGAAGATTGACCATAATATACAGGGTCCATGCAAGTCCTTATATCCTTGAAAAGTACTTGAATTGAAAACTCGTTTTCAATGGCACTTGAAACTCCATTGAAAATTTCGAAAAAGTCGTTGTAAACTCCTTGAAAAAGATAGATCTGTATCAGGAAGCGATAGCGATTTCGAAATTATCCGTTCGGCTGAAGTTGTGAGGAAAAATGTAATATGTAACTAACATGATTATGATGTTCCTTGAAAATACAGTTTTGGTCCTTGAAAAGTCCTTAAATTTCGTTTTTGATACTCTGCCCGTACCCTGATTATAGTACTTCAGCTGAGAATGGCCTCATAATTCCCCTCAAATGTAAAATTCTGAAATGTGAAATTTTAAAACTAAAAATGATATTCTAAATATGTGGAGAAAAACAATTAGAAAAAAAAACATTTGTGATTAATTTAGGTATTCAATGATTTTCTTTTTCTCTATACTCACAAGATTTGTACAAATCTGCACTGAAAAAAGTGCTTTCCAGCTAGTTTATGACTGACTCAGTTGTCATTTTGTTTAATATAGAGACCAGAAACGGCAGATTCTGTGGTATCCGAAGGTTTCTTCACACCAAGACCTCATACTAGTAACACATTGGTCCTTCCTCGGTAAGAAAAAAAAAGAAACAACATTTGGTATATTACAAATTAATATAAACAAAAATAATACAGCCTTTTGCAAAAAATTATGAGAATTGTCTAAATATCTAAATATTATAATATCCATATATTGTCCGGAACACGCGGGTTTGCTAGAATAATTCATTGTTGACATCGAGAAAATGTTCATAACTTAAAGTACGTCGCAAAAAAAAAACAACAACTAAACTACAAAGACAAGGGACTAAGGGCATCGCCCGGGATTACCCATCATGCACTCGATATTATGATATTTAGATATTTCAACAATTCTCATAATTTTTTGCAAAAGGCTGTATGTTCTGTGATGTCACAATATCATGATATATATCAGTGGAAAATTATACTCAAAATCAGTAGAAATTTGGACTCATTCATATTCCCTTTGAAAACAGAACTTGAAAATGAATCGTTTTTTGATATACCATGTATTATCAATGATTGCACATACATTTTTTCTAGCCTCCTGCGCACTGGCATCACTAAGAATCACGGGCTTCCTGTATTTTTGAGGAGTCAAAAGAGGGAGAATGGGGGCGAGAAAAGGGTTTTTATTTTTCCTATCTCGTCACTAGTTCCTAACAGCCATTATGAATGTTACAAAGGAAGCCCAAAGGAGGAAAAAAGAGTTGCTTGTGGAGGAGGCTACATTTTATCTGATATGCAGTCACTTGTTTGATCCTCTCTGGCGACCATACTTCTTAACATTAAAACAACAGAATATTTTGATATGTTATGCAATAATGAAATAAATCAACTTCAATGATGTTATAATCTGCATTTTTCAGGATCCAACCAGGGGCTGGGCTAGACAAGAAACAATCAGATGCTGCCATGGTAACCATTGCTGAAGAAGATGATGTAATTGATGAGGAT